GTTGAGACTATACTCCAGTCCAGAGCTCCCGCCACTAGGAAACAGTACGCCTTAAAGTGGAAGCGTTTCACTTCATGGTGCGGACAGCGACTGCAAGACCCAGTCAACTGGCCAATTGGTACAGTTCTGGAGTTTTCTGCAGGAGCGATTCTCCGCAGGGTTATCTCCCTCCACTCTGAAGGTATACGTGGCGGCCTTAGCTGCTTACCACGCCCTTCTGGGTGGTCAATCATTGGGAAGACACCCACTTATCACTCGTTTCCTCTGTGATACCCTGAGGCTGAGGCCGGTACAGTGCACTAAGGGGCCCATAGTACTTCAGGCATTCTGTCCTCCTCCGTTCCAGGAAGTAGGCCAAGAAAGGCTTAATCTGCTGTCCAGTTAGAGCACTGGACGCTTACGCACACAGAGCTGCCCCGTGGCAGCTGTTTGTTTGCTTTGGTCCACCAAGGGCGACCAAGCAGACTATGAGTAGGTGGGTGGTCGAGGCCATCTCACTAGCCTACGAGTCCTCTGGCCTCCCGTCACCTATGGGTGTCAGAGCGCACTCGACCAGGAGTATGGCGGCCTCCAAGGCTTTCAACTTGGGTGTGGCCTTGCAGGACATTTGTGCTGCGGCGGGCTGGTCCTCTCCACACACTTTTGTCCGCTTCTATAACCTAGACCTGGCATCTACCCCAGATTCCCAAGTTCTCGCTTCGTGATGTGCTCATCTGATACATACACAGGCAGGGACTTGGTAGTATGGCGCAGTGGATATTCTCGTTCCCAAAGCGAATCTCGACACAGCTCGAGTTACTGAAGGGGAACGTCTCTAAGTTACTTATGTTACCATGGTTCCCCGAGGGAATGAGCTGTGTGTGACATTAAAGTACCGCGAGAGCGATTAGACAGCATTTAAAATGTCTGTTTAGATGTAAAATAAGTCTTTTTTTGGAAGACCAAACAAAGTTTCGCTTTCACAACGAAACACACAGCACCTTCACGACATGGCGGCAGCAACAATACTACAGCGAGAATAAAAGTTACGCCTTCTTTCTTTGCATGAACATTTGGGCGGCGTTATGCAAATCTTCCCACATAGTGTTGTAGACATGTGGGGGCGTGTTAGAACGAGCCATTTTAGGTAGGTGTGGCTGACTCTTAACTTTTATAAAGAATATCTCTTTGGATTTGAGACTTTAGTCTTTGCAACTTTACAGATCTTCTTTATGCACCAAGAGCTTGTAACACTCCAAAAAGAAAGGAAAACTTGAAATCGCATCATATGATCCCTTTAAAGGTATTATAATCACCCTGTATCCTCTGAGTAAGTTCAGAACTGGCGAGTTTGGGTCTGTGCGTTCACTGTTGGCCGAGTGAATTTCTGAGTGATGTTAGGTCCTTAATGAACTAATAATTTAAAGTATGGGATTTCCAGAATACTCAAATATCTAAATGAATATGCAGTCAATATTTGTGATCACTAAATTTAGGCAATATTAAAAACTTAAAAACTTAAAATTAAAAACTCAGTTTGAGTCAGATTGAACATGGAGCTAGACTAAAATTGAAACTAAGTCTTGATAAATTCAAAAGCGCAAGTAAAAGACCAAATACACATTAAAACTTCGACCAGGCCGCTGAATTCCACTGTTTTGGGCTGGCAGGTGGATTCTTACAGCTTTATGGGAAACAAATGTTGAAAAAAATGTGGAAGAAAAAACATTGAATAAACAACTGCTGAGGATTATGTGCGAATCTGACACGTTTGCTCCTGTCTTCTCAATTTTTCCTGTTTTTACAGGGACTTTCTAATCTGTTCACACGGCCTTCTGTACGGGGGGCCTATAACAAAAACAACACTTATCTTCTTCTTAGGGTCAAATCTTGTACGCCCAAAGGCACACAGAGCACAGTTCATAACTTCAGACCTGCATACGTTTATCATGTTTGAAGTCAGGGTTGATTCAAAGTAACATTGGGACACCAGTACTTGAAGATGTGAGACCACTACCCTGTAGCGAAATTCAGAATTTTTTTTTTTTTTTTTTTAAATGGTTTAAGACTGCATATTAAGAATATCTCAGTATCTAGACCTCATATAACGTTATTGGGTCTTACTCAGCAAGCATGAATATACCAAGCATTACATTAGATTGTATACTTGTTAACTGGTCAAATATTTGTCAGTGGTACTTTTTCTTGTTAAGAATTTCTGACATACAGACTTACCCTTCCAACATATCCAGCGACTGTGTTGGGACTATATGGCATATATACTATACTTCTTGGTAGAGACGGTGACCTTGACGGAGATTGCATTGTGGATGGAGACTGTGCTCTGGTCTCAAGTGGGTCAAAGACGAAAAGGGTGTTTCAAGCACCAACAAAATTAAAGTGTAATACATCTTTAAATATAGTTTTTTACCCATACATTAGAATGTGTCCTGTTTAACTTGATATTTTTTCCAAACAAAAAATAACGACTCGTGCCTTTTTTACTATGATTTACAGAAGACACCCACTAAAATGTCATTCGGGGTAACAATATTTATATACCAAAAAAATCTTGTTAGGCATATTTTAAACATTAATCATTTGATGACATATCAAAAGACTATATTTCAGCATCACAGTGCAGCCCCCAAAAATCAGTTAACTTTAATTTTTAAATCTTAATACTTTGCTAATGACCTTCAAACCACACTAGGTTTTACCCATTTGTCAGCAAGAAGTTTTTGTGAGGAAGTGAAAGTCATTTAAAATATAATAAAATTTAGTATGATTACATATTGTTTTTTTGTATTTTAATACAGAATAAGTATATTGTTTAATTTTTACATAAATATATGTTACGCTGAATGACCATGGTTCGTTACTCTGAATGATTATTTGCCAAAAAGAGAGATAATATTGCCATTGTTCCCATAACTGAAATGTTTTTAGTATTAGTCTGTGTCATTAATAAACAAATCTACATAAAGTAACTAAACAGAAGTTATCTATTTAATTTGTCCATTAGTACTGTTGATAAATTGTGGAGCACTTGTGTTAGATAAAAAGTGAGTTAACACAACATGTAAATGCAGTATTGAGCAGATAAATCACAGAGGTGACTGACTCTTGTCTGGATGTTACAGGAACAGATGAGACACATGTGTTTATCTGCTGCAGAGAGACTGATGAAGCAGTGCTGCCATCAAAGACTCTCAGTGAGTACACTACAGGAATTAATAAAACATCTTTTAAATATTAAGCTGTAGTTTATTTTAATGAATTATTGTAATTTCAAACAGAGTTATCACAGCACTTTTCTGATTCTTGACTCCTGTGCATTTGCTGCAGAGCTTTTGTGGTGGAGCAGGACCTGCAAGGAAAGGTGACGGTGGCATTTGTGGAAAAAAGAGAAAACCTGAAACAAAAATACAAAGTATGATCATTATGTTACTTCTAACACAGAAATAAAATGACATTGTGCTGTTAAAATGACTGCTTTTGTATTATGTTTGTGTATTTTTGCAGGATCTGAAATGTCCACAGACTGCTGTGTGCAGTGAGGATGGAGAAGTCCACAGCAGCATCCTGGAAATGGTCCAGTGCCGCGGATGAGACGCTCCAACACTCCAGCTCTTACTGCCTCATCTGGACCAGATGCTGCTGTGCTCTCTTCATCCTCAGTGACCCCAGAGCCAGTGAGAACATCTAGAGAAAGACCAAAAGACACTGAGGATGTGAGTTTGGTCAAGTTTGTTCTGCTGGTTTCTGTTCATACAACATCAGTCAATAGAGCCCGAGTTTCAGAAGCTTCAAAAGCATTACTAAACATTCATCATTATGTGTCAGCTTTGGGAGTTCTGTTTCAATAAAATTACTTTAAAAGGCCAAAATATCACTTACCTGAAGCAATTATGTGACGGAAAATCCGTGAGGGAAGAAGATTAAATTGCACCTTTCGGTCAAATTGGCGCGGTAGTCATAGCAACCGAGGTGTGGCCTGCCGGATTTCTGCCAAATTTGATTTCAGGTTTTGAGTGCTTTCCAAGTGTAATCCAAATGTTAGCCAGAAGTCGATGTTTACCAAAGTTTGCCATATCTAAACCTTACTTGGTTCTTACGTGTTTGTTGTTATCTGGCCCATATACCTCAAAAGGAGTTGTGAACCAAGAGAACATTTCCCGCAGATTCTAAACTTATGGCAAAACATATATGGTAACAATCTGGCCCATATCTGTTCAGCCATGCCATATCTAAGCCATACGTGGCAGCTATCGGCCACATTTGGCCCAAAAGTTCTTGCTATCTGGGCATCATCTAGCCTGCCTGTCACTGGTAAACCTTGGTCATCCTTTTTGAGCAGTGTTTATGCATTTCATGTGTGCATTCTTCTGCTTCAGTCGCACAGCCTTTAAAAGTTATTGTTTAACCTCAGTTTCAACCCTGCTCCAACAGACTTACCTGTTATTTTCAGGTAACCCTGAACACCTTGATTAGTTGGTTGAAATGGGTTTGATTAGGGTTGGAGCTAAACTCTGCAGGCTGGCATCATCTTAGGAGCAGGGTTGGTTAGCCCTGCTCTAAATTTTTTTTTTTTTTTTTTTACAAAACCCTATCGTCTTATTATATCATGGATTTGTACATTGATACAGGTTTCTGCATCCCTAGAATGAGCAAACAAACTTGTATCAACAACATAAAATGTTAATCAAACTTTATTTTGACAATTAGGTTCATGGTAGCTTGCATGGTAACAGCAACTTGGTCCTGTTCTTCAGAATCTCTTTCATGGGCATCTGTGGAATGTGTTCTCTCCAACACTATTCAAAATACAAAGGAAATATTAGTCCATCACCGTTGTTAAATGTACACTGCAAGGTGTAAATATGAAAATCACCCACAGGTGTTAAAAACTAACATAGAAGCAGTGTTGGATCTATTCTTTGCAGTGCTAAATGCTGAATTAACCAGATGGTTAACTAATCAATTAAGTTAACTCTACAAGTGATGATTGGCAATTAGTGAATAGTGATGGCACTGGCTGTTGAGTCTCCTGAAGGAAAGATAAAGAACAAGAACAGAGAACCCTGATAGCACACGTACATCACAGAGACGTCTATTTGCCGTCTGCATTAACATTGGCAAGACGTATGCCTTTAATTTTAAATGCCTTTAAGATGTGTATGATTTAGAATGAATGTAAAACTGACATCTTAAAGGGATAGTTCATCCAAAAATGAAAATTTGATGTTTATCTGCTTACCCCCAGGGCATCCAAGATGTAGGTGACTTTGTTTCTTCAGTAGAACACATATGGTTATTTTTAACTTTAACCGTTGCAGTCTATCAGTCGTATAATGCATGGCAATGGTAACAAAATCTATGAGAGTAAAAAAAACATGCACAGACAAATCCAAATTAAACCCTGCGGCTTGTGACGACACATTGATGTCCCAAGACACGAAATTAACAGTTTGTCCCAGAAACCGAACAGTATTTATATCATATTTTACCTGCTACTGAAGAAACAAAGTCACCTACATCTTGGATGCCCTGAGGGTAAGCAGATAAACATCAAATTTTCATTTTTGGATGAACTATCCTTTTAAAGATGTCTATCAGATTTTACACAGCAGATGCTTTCCAGATGAAGCGATCTTTAACAGACATCTTGCAGACATGCGTGTGCTATCTGGGGGGGAAAAGAAAACAAGACTGAGGCAGACTTACAGCCAGACAGACTTGGATGGAAATAAACTGCAAATAAAATACATCTTAGAACATGCCTTAGAAAAAAAACATTTCTGGTGTGCATCTGGAGACAAATCAATGGCACTGAAATATTTTAAGATATGTCAATGCAAGTTGCATTCAGTTAAGACAGCTCAAACATGCATTTTAGTCTGGGACTAGTCTTAAGCCTGGTCTGTGAAACTTAGTGTAACTAATTCACTTTATAATAACTTTCATTAATAAGCCGTTAGCAAACATCAGACAATGCTTAACAGACCATTAGTTAATATATTTTTAATAGCTAGAATCGTGAGATAAGGTGCTTGTTAATGTTTACTAATAAATTTATTAAACATTACCTAATGATTAACAGATCATTATTTCATGCAAATTAAAATGCTTACAAATGTCTTTAAACTTTCAATTCATATGAAGCACTTCTTGAAAATCTTCAAATGACTGTAACAGATGTCATACTACAATTAAAAGCTTTTGTTAATGTGTACGGGGGTCAATTTGATCACCATAAGGGAACACGGTTCTGTTTATATTACATTGTTTTGATAAATAAGCAAATAAAAGTGGATGAAAAACTGTTTTCTCCTATTGAAGTATGATTCGTGGCCTAATGGTTAGAGAGTCTGACTTGTAACCCAAAGGTCGCGGGTCTGAGTCTCGGTACCGGCAGGGATTGTAGGTGGGAGTAAATGCACAGCACTTTCTTCCACCCTCAATACTACGATTGAGGTAAGACCCCGACCCCCCAACTGCTCCCCGCATGCTGCAGCAAGTGTGTGTGCCCTTTGATGGGTTAAATGCAAAGCACAAATTCTGAGTAAGGGACACCATACTTGGCTACATGTCAATTTCACTTTCATGATTCAAGGAATATCCTGTTTAATGATATACAGTAGTATACTAATATAAGTGTTGAGGCAATAAAAAACGTTTTGCACCCAAATTACAATGTATGTTATGTCTTTGGCAAGCATTTAACTAAACTTAACTAACCACTCTTTACACAAACGTTGTTAAAGTAGCTAAAAGTCCCATAAAGGTAATAAATGATTAGCAAAGGTTTACAAACATTTACTAATGGTGAATAGTATCAACTTTAGATTGGGTACCTTTTAAACTGATCTGTGCTTTTTTCTCTCTCTTTATTCTTGTGTTAGTTACTGTTTCTCTTTTAGTAATCCGTTAGCAATCACACTACATGCATACCACACCTGAAACCAATCGAACCACTCATGAGCGCACCACTTAAATGGGCCAGGGCATGGAACAGAGTGATCACACTAATCAAACAAACCAGACTTTTGGGGGTCAAACATGCTCGGCACAGTTCAGATCACCTAGTGTGAGTATACCCTAAATTAAACATCTAACCATGTTGCTTCCCAGTTGTCTTGGAGGCCATCCACAGGTGAATGTAGAATCCAGGTGGTCTTTATTACATCCTCGATACTTCCATCTTTGTTTTCCTGGAAGATCTGGCCAGTGAATGCACTACACGAGCCTATGCAAAACAAATTGTGCGTAAGAATTTCTGTCTGGTTTTCCGGTAAAATTATCTAAGCATCCTTTAAACAAGACACATGTATTTGATAAGCAAAGCTTCATAACTTTTACACTATTCAGAGTAGATATTATGAATAATATAAGTATTTTTGTCTTAATGCACTGAAGCAACAATTGGCTAAACCAGGGGTGTCAAATCCTGCTCATGGAGGGCCTCTGTCCTGTAGAGTTTAGCTTCAACCTCAACCAGAACCAGCTAATCAAGGGCTTACTAGGATTCTCAGGGGTTAAAACAAAACAAAAAATCCTGAGGCTGAACTTTTTTCCCGGGGCTTGGGTGTTGCGGGGGTGGACACATACACAGGGTTATTTGGCAAACAAAAAAAGAAAATGATTTTCCTTGAAACTAACTAGTAACGTATCTGCCATTGCCATTAGCCCTTGACAGGCTCAGACTACAGAATATGGTGGGATATTTGAAACAGCAATACCAAGAAAGTTTACTCACTATAATATGGTGCAAACACATGTAACATTTAGGATGCTTTTGATATCAAGTTTTGCTGGTTAGCTTTGTCCTTGACACAGGGTACAAGATGACCTACAATCTAAAACATGACATTTCTGAAATTGTTTTGTTCAAAAGAAATAATGGTAAAATAAATACTAGGAAATGAATATAAAATAGGAAATATACACAGACCGTTTATTACAGAAAACTACAGTTCGGTTCAAATGACAACAACAAAAAACATTAAAATGGTCCAAGAACTGGTAACTTAAACAGGGTTCGTACAGATACTGGTTCACAAGAACGAGACAATATTTTAATACTTTAAGACATTTTCAAATGACAAAATATTTGTCTTTTTAATCACAAAAAGTAAAACAATGCAGTTGTATTTTGAAATGTTTTAACTAATCTAGTGCTTAACTAATGATTATTTTGCTAATCAAGTAATCTGATTATTTATTTGATTATATGATTATATTTATATGATTATAATCAGATTTTTTTTAGTAATACAAGTAGAACTAAGTGGAAAAACAGGCTTTAATATGACTATATTTATATATAAAGTAACGATGAGGCAATAATAATTGGCCTCAAATAAAGTATCAAAACCAAGTACATGGTTTTATTGAACAACACTGTTAAATACATAATGTAATTTGCCTATATGATAACAAATACCTGCAAAGGGCGCCAACGGCCTGGTGATGTTTCATGTGATTCAACGACGTTTAAATCCATTTACTTTTAATATTTGGCCACATACAATGTCAGAAACTTTTATTTTGAAATCGCGATGTACAATAAATCGCATATTTAGAAATATGTTGATGTATTCTCCTGTGTTGGCATAGGTTTAAATGATTTACGTTACAAATCAAGTGAGTTTTCCCAGATTAACGTTAATTAAGCAACCCAAACTCACCGCATATGCAGAGGAAGAGTTTAGCCCCTTTCACACATACAGTCTTTACTGGTAAATTACCGGGAAGTTACCGTTAAGAGATCATGTGTGAACACTGTAAATTTGTTCTGGCAATCATATCGTTCTTATGGAGATGACGTGATTACTCTGAGCAGTTTACAAAGCTCTGCTGCTTTTTTAATAGCTTTTCTATGTAAATATGACGCTAGATGGAAATCTTTGACCATTGCGCCTTGCAGCTTTTTCAATGTGTCACGCTCGAGACCTAGGCTTCTTTTCTATTCATCAGCTAATGCGCGTCTCATGTTCATAAGAGCAAAAACTTCTGATTGGCTAGTAATGTTTGGTTGAGAGTGAAAGCTGTGTTCCTCTCATACATTAGTAGGCGAACTCAACTCGAACGTGATATTTAAATGTAGGACAACTTTTTTCCCTCGCAGCCAAATGCCGCACGCCGGAGAACTTTAAGCCCTGCATTCTAGAAACTTCCAGGGAGATGTGGTGAGGCAAGCTGGAGCTAAATTCTGCAGGACAGTGGCCCTCCAGGACCGAGTTTGGACAACTCTGGGCTAAACCCACCTTCTATCTTCCAGGCCATGCAGAAGGCAATAGTAGTGGTCTGTTTAGTCTGGTCTGTATTGATGTAGCCCACAAGGTCAGCAGTTTCTTCAGTGTGGCTGGACTCTTTTGAAGTAACAGCAGTTAGGTATGTCCCAATAATCTGACCATTCTCCTTCTCCTTCATCTCCATCACAGAACCGAGTTCGTTTTTCCACTTTCCTGACACTATTGAACTTACGACTTTCTAGATAAACATTAGAGTGAGAAAGGCATATTTAATAAAAAAATATTAAAATGATTACCACATTAACAACAAATAGAATCTATCTGGTCAATAAATTAAGTCATATGTGAATTGCTAATAATTATATTTGCCAGTTTGCATTAATTTCTTATCAACATCTAGTATTAACTAATAGTGTAAATTGTGTTACTTACCACAATCTTAGAAGAAATGTGTACAAAAATTAACTGATAACAAGTTCAAACAGATGCCATTAATACAGGTAACGAGTGGAGGACAGAGGAGCCTCTTAAAGAAGAAGTTACAGGTCTGTGAGAGCCAGAAATCTTGCTTGTTTGTAGGTGACCAAATACTTATTTTACCGAGGAATTTACCAATTAATTCTTTAAAAATCCTACAATGTGATTTTCTGGATTTTTTTTCTCATTTTGTCTCATAGTTGAGGTATACCTATAATGAAAATTACAGGCCTCTCTCATCTTTTTAAGTGGGAGAACTTGCACAATTGGTGGCTGACTAAATACTTTTTTGCCCCACTGTATGTGTGGCACTCTAGTTAACACATTTTGTGTCAATATTAAATGAAAGTCTGTTGGAGGAATTCAGCTGTTTATACATTATTATGTGTAGTTTTAAAATTAACAGCCTGTAAACTACAGATAAATATTATATAATTGCTTTAATTAATCATTAGCTAGTGTTTTGTAAAGAGATCATTATGACTTCAGTCATTAACTTATTAGGTACCTGTGCATTAACGAAAGTTGGTGTTCAGATGTAACAACGCTGAAAAAGGTATGCTGTCCTAATTTAGAGGCACTCATCATAAACTGTAAACCGTTCTACTCGCCGCGGGAGTTTTCCTCTTTCATTCTTGTGAATGTGTACGTGCCTCCGGACGCGTGCGTGAGCGCCGCGATGCAACAGCTGGCCGAACAAATAACTGAAATGGAGCAAAGGTACCCAGACTCTATTTTAATCATTCTTGGAGACTTTAACAAATCAAATCTCTCCCGTGAACTGCCAAAATACAAGCAGCACATTACGTGTCCCACCAGAGACAGCACTATTTTGGATCACTGTTACACAGCAATAAAG